CCGGTGCCTCGCAGTCTCTCGAGCTTGTCAACCCCAACCGACATATGGAGATTGTGTCCGAGATGCGTCATTTTTCAGAATCGTCTACAGCAGCAACACCTCACCAGCACCAGCACCAGCACCAGCACCAGCACCAGCACCAGCACCAGCACCAGCACCAGCACCAGCACCAGCACCAGCACCAGCACCAGCAGCAATTGCAAAATTTGGCAAGAGTCAGTGGTGCCGGGTTTCCACCACACATGCCACAGATGTCAGAGACTGCGGAAGCATCGACAATCGCCGTAAACCACACGCAACAGTCTTCAGACGGCTCAGTTGTCGTTTCAGCCCGGACACCCGCAGCTCAGACCAATACGGCTGACTCGACAAATACCGTCGACACGTTCAACTCTGCGTTACATATGTCAGAAGAACATTGCCACCCCGCAGCGGCCACGCCTGCACCCGAAGCGCCGCGTGGCAACCTTGTGGTACGTGGCGCCAGCCGCACCACAGTGTCGTCATCGGTCAGTAGCAGCAGCAGCGCAATGATGGAGGAGAAGTACATTAAGGAGTTCAACTTTGCGCTGCAGGCGCTGCTCCAGGCCATGGATCACAATCTCCCGCTGTCATCGGTCTTAAATCTGTACAAGCTGCAGCTTGCTCCGGCACCCATTTCGACCATCGGCTCGACTGGCGCTGCAGCCAGGAGCAGGGCGAAGAAGGATGACGTCAGTCTGGCAGGCGCTTTGTGCGATGGCATCGAGGCTGCGCGGTCACTGCAGCACGTGGTGTCGAGTGAGGTATTGTCGCTAATTAAGGATGAAGTCAGCGAATCGCCAGCTTTCTCGGTGATCATTGACGAGGCACCGATCCGCGAGCACAACAGTCTGGTCGCACACGTGCTGCTGTATTTGCGCTATCTGCGCCGCGACCCATTGTCTGAGACAGGCGAGCTTGAGGTAGCAACGCGCTTCTGGCGCTGCGTCCATCTGTACCACGAAAAAGACGGTCGAGTCGCGCGTCGTGACCCTATCGGCATTGTCATGGTACTACTGAGGCGGGCCAAGATCGATCTTGATCGGCTGGTATGCATATCGTACGAGCGGCCAACCACAGCGGGCTTTAACGCCATGGAGCGTCTTCGGCTGCCGCATGCGCTCCATTGGCACGGCGTATTTACATATGCACATTCGCTTTCGCCTCAGCTGTATGAGGAAATTGCCAACAAGTCGGATGACTTTGTCAGCTTCTCGATGACGCTGATGGACCTGTGTCTGTTTGTGTACTCGCACCCTGGCAGCTTCGCGTTTTTGGGCATCGATTTCCAGGAGACCCTCTACAAGACACTGTTTGAGATCCTGTTCACCGACACTACGCGCACCACGCGCCTGCCTATCTCGCTCATGCCTACGATTGTCATCACCATTGCTCGCAACATTTCGCAGATCGTGGTCACGGTAGCAGCACTGGCCAAGGTATCAACAGCTCGCCAAGCTCCATCAAGCCTGGATCCGTCGCGCAGCAGCGTGGTTCCCGATACCGGGGATGGCATCTCGCCGTCGTTGACTCGGTCGCCCAAATCGCCGCGTGCAGCCATGCAGATCCCACTCCCGGTTGTTGACATACTCATGTCTTCAATGGGCAACTCGTCGAGGAGCGGTGGGAACCGGTGTCCGCTGCCAGACGTCTTGTATGAGCACTTGAGAGACTACAACTTCCTTGGCTGCTTGCACTTTATGGCCGACATATTGCTGCAGGTCAAGCCGATCCTGGATCTGGGCGACCACCTGGAGCCACCTAGTCGTGCGTTTGCAATGCAGACCAACTCGGAGGACAAGCCGAAGAAGACGCTGGATCAGCTACAGCGTCTGTGCGTCGATACGATCCGTGATGTAGTAGACTCGATTAGCCAGATGTATGGAGATGATCGTCACGACGAAGAGGACGACGACGAAGACAGCTCGATGCAAGTCGACAGGACTCCCCCCCAGGTGAACGTTGAGTTGGGAGATGACGACTATGCTGGCCATCATCTGAACGAGTTCATGCAGCTGACTACCCGGAACAATGACTCCGACGAATGCACATTCCGCAGCTTCAAGCTGTGCAATTACTCGAAGGATGAAAGCCCAGCACGCCTGATCGAGCTCATTCGCACTGCGGCGGCGGCGATCTTGCAGGACCTGCACGTGCGCTTCTCCACTGACGACCTGGACTCCCTGAAGGCGATCTCTGAGCTCTGGAGCCCAGACAAGTACCCGGCCAAGGCAGAGGACCTTGCTGTCTTTGGCAACGTCCATCTGGCCCAGTTTGCAGAGTCGCAAAGACAGCGCGGCTCGGTGCCAACCATCTCAGGCCTTGGTGTGCATGGCTCCAGCGGCAACGAGCTCGGCATGAGGCCACCAATGCAGCTGGTGGATATGCGCACGTTGGTGGAAGAGTGGAGGCTGTTCAAGGCAGAGGCATACAAGGAGCTGGCACAGCGTCGTATGGCCGCGATAGACACTGCATCGGCGGAAAAGGTCAAGGCTGAACACACGTACCGTGGCGCCGACGACGACGATGACGATGGCGACTCGGAGCCCAGGCCTCTGCATGGTCCGTTCTCAACAAACGAAGTACAGGCAGTGTACCGCGATATTCTGTTCCCCAGCAGCATGCTTGCTCCTAGTCGGCGCCGGCTGCGGTCCTTGGAACCTGATGAGCGGCAGGTCTATGCTCGCCGGTTGTCGGCGACACCGCACTTGTCAGCCTCTGGTGCCGAGTCACACCCGCCGCCGCCCATGACAAAGTACCCGAGTCTGGCCAAGCTGTCCACTGCATGGAATGTGCTGCCGCTAGCGACTTCTCCAAAAGTCTACGAGTTCCGCGAGCGGTACGAGAAGCAGCTTCTGCGCATCTGCCGCGAGCAGGCCGAGAACAAGCTGAGCTCGGTGAACTTTGACATGGGAGAGACTTTCTCTGAGCTGCTGAACAAGCTGTCGTCGTCAGGTCCGTCCAAGACCAAGAAGGTCACCGTGTATGACCTGCTGCAGAACAGCAAGGTTGAGGTTTCCAAGGACATCTCGGGATACGAAGAGACAGTCAAGGGCATCGAGCTCACTGGAGTCACCGTTGATTACTTCCTCAAGAGCCTCGATGCGGTGACTATGGCCCTCGACCACCGTCTGCGCTTGCTATCAATAGAGTTTGCCTCATCTCCACTGGCCGTGGCCAAGCACCCTGGCGACTGCCCCAAGTGGCTGCTCAATTCGATGCGCGGGTACTGGCGCCTGGTCTGTCGTTCCCCAAAGCCCACTGCAAAGACATCGCACCTGTCGAAGGGCAAGAAGCTGCTGGCGGCTGGTGCATCGGCCGCCTCCAATTCACTGCCTGGAAACGACGGCAGCGGCCTTATCAGCAGCGTTTCTGGATCGAGGCGATCGGCGCTGGTGGCTGCAACAGAGACCCCAGCTTCGCTGACGCCTTCAATGGCATTGAAGAGGCCGCACCACTACCTGGTAGACAGTGTGGCTTCCGGCGACATTAGTTCACCATCGCATGGTGTGGTCAGCGCAAAAGTAGATAGCCCGACAGCGAAGAGCGTGCTGGATCGCACTGCCAGTATAATCCCAGATCTACAGAACCAAACACCGGATATCAGCACTTTACCGCTGCTCGAAGCCCTGCTGTCTGACCCGTCGACTATCCCGCAGGACCCATCATCGGCAGCGATGTCTACGCAGACCATGCCTTCATCTACGTTCCCGTCAGCCAGGAACCATGCGTTTGCAGCTGAGCCCAGCAATATTCCGAGCGACGATGCCCAGTCGATTGCAAGCATGCCGCCGAGTAAGCGTCAGAGACAGCTCCCAGATCGCATGACCAGCGGAGAATACCGTAGCTACAGCCATATGGGTACTATGCACCAGCCGGTCCAGCTTTTGGCGACTGACCAGTCGCAGCAGCGGGCGGCATCGTCGCTAGCCGGTGCCATGGATATGGATGGAAGTGACCAGCATGACACAGAGTCCTTTGGAACCACTATCGCGCAGCTGGTTTCGAACATGGGGTTGGACCCAGTCACCACCCAAGTGCTTGCGGCTACTATATCTAACCAGTCGTCGCATATCCTCCCTCTGCAGCCTCACGACTCGTTTGCTGGCTTGACCATGCCCGCTGGAAGTGGCCACGCCGACTCGCTCTCATTCTCTGGTGCAGGCAGCGGAATGTTTATGCCTGCCGAGCAGCAGCAGCAGCAGCAGCAGCAGCAGCAGCAAAGCTATGGTTCTCAGGTTGCACTGGCATCGCAGGCCGCTGCAATGAACATGTCGTGCATACCTAGCCTCCCCAGTGCATCACTCGACATATCCAGAAACCCAAGTCTCCAGCAGCTTTCCACGTCGCTACCTGGCAACAACAATCCTCTGCCACACACTGCATTTGATTTCCAAGCGCAGCACCAAAAGTAGGCGATGTCGCTCTCACAACCTGTGGACATTGTCTTTCTAGTGAGGAGGCTCGTCTTTCGTACTCGCAATCCAACTTATACACTTCCCAATACACATTACTTTTCTAGACGTTAATAGCCATTTCTATATTTGCATGTAAACTGACCATGTAGATTGACAATCGACACATCACAATACATAACACGAACAAACCCCACGATTCATGCGTGCATACTACTGTTATGTTTGTTGAGTGTGTGGGGATTTTAAAAGTTATATTTAATACTGAAGAAAAGAGAGAAAAGGGAGTAGACGAACTGTGCAGGGGAGCTTTCAATACGGCCGTCTGTGCAACCTATCAGAGGCTAGACTACCTCCATATCGTAGGCTGTAGCGGGGCTCTCGTTGGCGCCTGGCTTGCTGTCACCTGATCCGGCTGGCATGTCTACGTCAGGGACAGCCGCAGCGGGCGTGCAACACTACTTAATCGAATGGTAAATGAGTATTATTGAAGATAAACAGTGCTAGTCCTTATATGGAGCCAAGGTATCCGGTTTGGCCACTATAGGAACCTCCCTCTTCCACTCTAGGGCTTAGGGAGGAGGGTGTCGAGCAGGCACGGAACCTGGTTGTGGAGGATGCTGCTAACAGCAGTGAGTGTATTTGACAGATCAAGGGGTGAGCCGAGGAGGCCGTTGACGAGGTTGTTGACAACACCACTGACACCCTCCGGGCCGTTGATGGCGGGACTATTCACCAGATCGCCAACAGCATCGGTCAGGTGGACAACGAGCTTCTTGACACCATCGACAGTGGTATCGAGACCGAGGCGCGTAAGGAGCGGGGTGAGAGCAGAGATCTGGCCAGCGGAAACACCGCAGTTGGCGGGGTTGCCAACACCACCACCATTGCCCGGTCCACCATTGCCAGGACCGCCATTTCCAGGACCGCCATTTCCAGGACCGCCGTTGCCCGGCCCACCATTGCCCGGCCCACCGTTACCAGGACCGCCATTTCCAGGACCGCCGTTGCCCGGCCCACCATTTCCAGGTCCACCATTGCCAGGGCCGCCGTTACCCGGTCCACCGTTACCAGGACCACCATTGCCCGGTCCGCCGTTGCCCGGTCCGCCGTTGCCCGGTCCACCATTGCCAGGGCCACCATTGCCAGGGCCGCCATTGCCAGGGCCGCCGTTACCCGGCCCACCGTTACCAGGTCCACCATTGCCCGGTCCGCCGTTGCCCGGTCCACCATTGCCAGGGCCGCCCGGACCACCGGGGAAACCAGGACCCCCATGGCCGCCATGGCCACCATGGCCACCAGGGAAGCCGGGGAAGCCAGGATAGACGAACTCAGGGACAGCGGCGTGAGGATCATCGTAGTCGCCACGACGAGTAATTGGGGAGGCAGCAGTGCACGTAGCAAGGACGGCGACAACGAAAGTCGAGGAAAGACGCATTTTACTGATTCAGATGAAGTATGGTGGGATGTCAACCGAAGGAGCTGGGCTGCTGATCTTGCAAGAACTAGGCTGAGGTGAGGAAGGCTGAAAGCTGGTGTGGTAGTCATATCGTAGGTCCTCCAGCGAGCCATTTTAAAGATTTTTGGCATCAGGCTGCTCGGACTAGGCCCTACACTTTGCACGAAGTGGACTCGGGAATATCTCACAAGCTCAGCAATGGCTTGTTCTAACGAGCGTGTAGGCTGAAGATGTGCCCTACGTGAATAATGGCGCAAAAAATGCACCGCTTGAAATGCACCGAGCGCTACCCAGGTCACTGAAATAGCATAGCGGTCCTGCATGGCTGCAGTGGCGGAGCAGTGGAGTGGTTGTCTCTCCACTATACTTTATATGGAATCTCCATATTCATCTGCTGTTCCCATGAGATGAAGGGGCGACAGGCTGTTGCCACCGAACAAGCACTTGACGCTTCGCACTTTACATGTACAAACAGGTCTTCTTGCAATAATAGGGGCGGCATAATTGCATTGTCAAAGTTCAGACGAATAGTGCACCTGTGGGCTTTCAAGGGATGCGCAGGATTGTGGCCGTAAAATATATGCCAATTCAAGTGCTACCGCCTGCCATTGAACACGCCTGTGTATGCTCGCACCCGTAACATGCAGAAGAGCTCGGTCTGTCTCTCAGATACCCGCATGTGTGGCTTGCAGCGAGCGCCCAGGCACATTCAGACCACTTTCCAAGCCACGCGCCATGAGTATGAGATGGAAACAATAGCTGCCTCTTGCATCCAGCCAATATTTCTGGCGGCGCCACAAACAAATTCCAGACGGGTATTATGGATATGCGAATATTGTTGGTAAACCGGACCTGCTAGAAAGAGACTAATAATCGAAAATTGGGAGACTATATGGAAAAGAGACCGTTTTGCGAAAGCATCGCCTGGCGTGCTTAGGGCTTGGGGAGGAGGGTGTCGAGCAGGCACGGAACCTGGTTGTACAGGATGCTGCTGACGGCGTCCAGGGTGTTGGACAGGTCCAGGGGTGAGCCGAGGAGGCCGTTGACAAGGTTGCTGACAATGCCACTGACACCCTCCGGGCCGTTGATGGCGGGGCTCTCAAGCAGGTCACCGACAGCATCGGTCAGGTGGACAACGAGCTTCTTGACACCATCGACAGTGGTATCGAGACCGAGGCGCGTAAGGAGCGGGGTGAGAGCAGAGATCTGGCCAGCGGAAACACCGCAGTCAGCAGGGTTGCCAACACCACCACCGTTGCCCGGTCCACCGTTACCAGGACCGCCGTTGCCAGGACCGCCATTTCCAGGGCCGCCGCCGTTACCAGGTCCACCACCGTTACCAGGTCCACCACCGTTACCAGGTCCGCCATTGCCTGGTCCGCCATTGCCTGGTCCGCCATTGCCTGGTCCGCCATTGCCTGGTCCACCGTTGCCTGGTCCGCCATTGCCTGGTCCGCCATTGCCTGGTCCACCGTTGCCAGGGCCGCCGCCGTTGCCAGGTCCACCACCGTTACCAGGGCCACCGTTACCAGGGCCGCCGTTGCCCGGTCCACCATTGCCAGGGCCGCCCGGACCACCAGGGAAACCACCACCCGGACCACCAGGGAAGCCACCACCCGGACCACCAGGGAAACCATCACCACCATGATGGCCAACACCGTCGTCACCGTAGGGCGGCTTATCGTAGCCGCGAACGACAAGAGGAGTAGCAGCAGTAACAGCCGCAAGAGCAAGAGCAAGGTAGGTTGACGAGACACGCATTTCCAATTATTAAATTATCTAGCTAGGTAGGATAAAGGGAGGAAGGGGACGAGGGATTAGGAGATGCGAGAAGAAGGCTGTTTTCAAACTGTGCTTGAAAGGCTGATATCGAATCGTCTGTGAGAGCGAGATTCCTCATGCCGTTATATACGGCAAATATGACCAGAGGCCATGCGGTTACAGTACTTTCTTTCAACAGCCAGACCATCCATACTGCCTGGAAGCGTTCGGTTTGGACCGCATAGATATTTCGCAAATGATTGACCGCAGAAGATATGTGGCGGAGCCCTCTGCAGTATGGAAAGCTTTGCGCCGCCTGTCGATTGTTTAAAAGCCCGTCTAGAACCCGCAATTCTGCATGTTTTCCAGATAGCTAAAGAGACACCATATATGCACGGCAGCCACCAGAGACGTATATGATGATTGGCGGGAGATTGCATTTTGGCTCCTGTATTCCTTCGTTTTATTTGTGCTTGACAATTCACTCACGAGAGCACAACAAACTGTCACCCCTTGCCTCTTTTGCAACCACAAACACAATATATGGACCTTTTCGCTTACACTTTTCTCACAAGCTCTGACTGGGACAAAATGCAGAGCTGTGTCTTGAACAGCGTTTACACATATTGTCAGCCTATGTTGACAGCTCCGTCACAATCACGGCGGACCGCATATAGACCGTCTGCCTACATTTGGTCGTGGCCAACAAGGCTTGGGGTGTGTTTACAGTTTTGCCTACCCTCCACAAATCGGCATAATAGCCCTATGTCACCACTCTGAGAGTCGTGTTTCTGCTTGTTTTTGCACTGTTAGTTGGCTTCGACTGAGGCGTGTGTAGATTCGCTGAGCCGATGATCTGTATGAGACGGCCCGATTACCGGCCTGCTGACACAAAAGCCACATCTTTCTGCATGTCTGGCAGCGCTGTGTGCGCGAGCAGTTATTTATTTATCGGAGACAATTGAATAAAACTGCGGACGCAATCAGGCGGAAGCGCTTTCCTGATTGGTGTTGTTGCTAGTGTCATTGAGAGGCAGCATAGCCTTGTTGACAGTGTTATCAGCGATCGTAATGAGGTCATGCTGTGCTATGTTCATGGGTCCCGCTGCAAAATCTCTGGTAGATGGAGCAGCAGAAGCTGAGGCACCACCCGTATTGAAGCGGCTAATGATTCTTGCAGCCAATGGTACAATGTCACTAATAACTGCCGTGGCATTATCAATAGCCTCCATGTTAGCCCGCTTCTGTGGGCCAGCTATCTTCGCGGCACTATTGTTGCCCAGTAAACTGCTGAAAGTTTGGAGTACTTTTCCAAGTTCTTGCTTCAGGGGCATTGCACTTCTGTCACCGGCAGGGGAGGCGATACTAGAGAGGACGATCGAGACGGTCTTTAGGAGTTGGTCGGCGGAACCTACGTTGGAACCTGAGTTGCCGCTGGAAGCAGCTGGCGCAGCACCAAGGATAGGAATGCGGGAATGGGGGAAGCAGCTGTGGCAATCATGTGGCGAGATTCCAGGTGGATAGGCGAGGCAGCCGCAAAAGAGGCGAGTGCGAGAAGAGGGTGGGCGGAGAAGAAGTGCATGATTGTTTTTATCCGGATGCTGAGTGGTTTGCAAGTGGTATACCTAGGAAGACGGTGCTGTCGAGCACATTCGTCTGATCTTATATACCTGTCCACGGTGCTAATGACGCATCGGCATATATGAAGCACGAAAGGAATCTAGTGCAATGTGTGAGTGGCAATACAAAATTAGCATAGCTATTTCGAGAAACACTTCACACGACAGCAGCATGCTGGCATCTCTCGAATACAAGATTCGGTCATGAAGGAGGGACAAGATAATAATGAACACCGCTATTTCTAGACGCACACTCATAGAATCGGAAATAATCGTTTCTCGTATGACGTAATACGTGTCCATAGGTACTAATGTGAGTTTCTGACTCGCTATAGGACGGCATGCACGGCTTTATTGTGAGGGAAATATAAGTTGGAGAAAAAGGAGAGGAGGGAGGGGTACCAAGAAACAATCCGGTAACAGGATTTATTTGCCGTTGACAAGGCAAGGCAGGTTCTCAAGGTTATCGCCGACAAACGACACCAGCTGCTTGAGGTTCTGAGGCGTGATGTGAACATCACGGGTCAGCTCCTTGGTAACGCCCAAAGCGATCTGCAAGGGTGCAAATGGCCCGCTGCCGACCGAGCTGGCGACATGTCCAAGGATGTTTGTCAGGGTCTCGAGGCCATCTGTGGTGACGTTTTCCTTGAACTGCTCGGCAATCGGGGTCAATCCGTCAATGTCTTCCTTCTTGACGCCGCAGCTGACCATCTTCTGCACGGCCGGGTTCTGCTCCTGGCGCGTAGACAGCGAAGGGCCAGTCGGGGCGGCCGCAGACAGCGTGGCCAGAAGGAAGGGTGCGAGGAAGGTAAATGCGCGCATTCTGTTGATATGGGGAAGTCCGGTTTTGGGGAGGATGCTTGGGCAGAAGGGATGTATGAGGTGGAGATGCGAATGCTTGGGGGTGTGAGGTTAGCGTTTGCTGGTGTTGGTTGTGGAGTAGAATCGTTGCTTTTTATATCACTGTGGACTATGCTGGTAATTTAAACTAATGGTCGTCCTCTCGGCCCTCGCCGGTACCTGCCAAAGAATGCCCGGCCTGCGCGAAACACCCAAAGGAACTATCATTAGAGGAAATCAATGCTGGGCATCTGCGAGAGACCAAAGAATGTCAACAAAGACGGTACGCAGTTTGCAAATCCATCAAACTACTATAGGCACATTTTAGTTCCCTTGTAGGACACAGCTATCTTTTTAGCGACGCGTAGAGTCCAGTATCAGCGATTAATTGCCTATGCAAGTAGCGGAAATCCTATGGGCAGGTCACATACAGGAGATTCAGAAGAGGTAGGAAACACGGTGCTGGATACCTGCCGTGCAATGTCAATTGCCTTTCCAAGAAATTCTTTTTATAGGACCACATTGGCATGGTCTCGGCACTTTCTAGCATGATCTGGATATTGCCAATCGCTTATGATATTTCAGAAATCTGACAGCCTAAAAATAGATCTTGGGAAGCAGCGTCACTATCCTTCTATGTTTTGTCGAATCGGAAAGCACACGAGGTATTTACCTTCTAGAAAGGTGAATGTTGGTTGCTAGGAAAGCAAATCCTGGGTACCGGCAGTAGATATTTTTAAAAGGCTGTGCTTGTATATTGAAAGAAAGCAATCAATTATTTGCGAAGATTTCTGCAAATGAAAAAGGCATTTTCCATCGAGGAAATTGCGCGTTAACGAAAGAACGAAAAGTCTCGGGATCCCGTTTTCAGGGCTTGGGTAGCAGGGTGTCAACCAGGCACGGCACCTGCTTGTAAAGGATGCTAGTGACGGAATCGATGGTCGCCTTGAGGTCGAGGCCACCGAGGCCAAGGCCGGCGACCAACGAATCGACGATGTTCAGGACCGAGGTGATGGCAGATTCCTGCAGGGTGTCGCCGAGCAGATCGGTGATCTGGTGCACCAGATGCTTCAGGTCGTCCACGGTCCTGGTCAGCTTGAGCTCGTCCACCAGGGGTGTCAGCGCTGCCTTCTGGCCCGGCTTCAGGCCGCAGTCCGCCGGGTTGCCGATCTGGCCGCCCGAGCCGCCGTTGTTGGAGCCGCCGTTGTTGGAACCGCCACCGTTGTTGGAGCCGCCGCCGTTGTTGGAACCGCCGCCGTTGTTAGAGCCACCGCCATTGTTGGAACCACCGCCGTTGTTGGAACCACCGCCGTTGTTAGAGCCGCCGGAGTTACCCGGGAGACCAGCTCCAGGAAGGCCAGCACCTGGATAGGGAACAGTGCCCGGGTAGGGAACAGTGCCCGGGTAGGGAACAGTGCCCGGGTAGGGAACAGTATCCGGATAGGGGACATAGGGAGCGGCACCTGGGTAAGTGATGACCTGACCGACATTGCCCGAGTAGCCACGGACATACACCGGGTTGGCGACAACAGCCGAGACGACCGAGAAGGCAGTGATAGCGGAAGTGAAACGCATGGTGTGCTAAAAAGCGAATGCTAGAAAGGAAGGGTATTTGACGTTAAAGAGATGTGCAATTTGGAGAGGCACGAGGAGGGTATGTTTAGGCGGGAAGATAAAGTACTTTTGCTGTGGAAAGCTGATGTGTTGTATTGGAATTCTGCCTGGAATGCCATCGGTTTTATACCAATGCTGGTTCTAGCATGCCAATGTATAGGAGAAAGCATAGCTTTTGCTGGGAAAGCACACTTAGTGGGTGGGGGTGGGTTGCAAACTGAACGCAGTTTCAAGCTTGATTGACAATTGCATAGTCACAATAATGAAACAAGGACCGACGCGAACTGTGCTGCATACAATCGACGGAGGATTCATAGCCACATCCCTCGTTCTGCTGCCCACAAAGCACTTGGGCAGTGCACAAGATCATTTGTACTGGGCAGTAACCGGATAGTTTATGTACTGGATTCTCTGATTCCATGAAAAACAGGGATGCGCAGTGGCAATTGTGTGTGGGATTTAGATAGTTGGAATCTATTCGAGTTTCAATTCAAAAAATCGCTTATGCTGCCCAACATGGGGACCAGGGGGACTGCCTAGATCAATAGACATGGTGGGCTAGTAAACAGGCTATTGTTTTGGTCAGGAAATAGGATATACAGATACAGCTGCATGTCCCAGCATGTACTTTTGGAATGAAGCAATAGGCTAAAGAAAACAAGGTTGGACAGGCAATGCGATGAAGGAGTAGCTGGAGAGCTAGGCAAACTTACGGCCAGCCCACAGATACATGCTTAGAGTTTTTCTTGGACAAAAAAGACTTTATTACAGCTTGCCCTCGGGCAAGTTCCTGAACTCCGGCCTCAGGTCAATCACGACGGGCTCAATACCGGCCTCCTCGCAATCCTGCAGCGCGACGCCGTTCTCCCACACCAGCACCAGGAAATTGACCCTCTTCCCAACGCACACCATTGGGCTATGCCAGGAATTGGGCTTATAGTTAATCCCCTGGGTTGAGTTCGCTGCAAATGCCCGAATTGTATTCACATCAGGCTTGTCGTCTGCGCCGTTCTCCGCTACAATGACAATATACGAGGGTGCGTCAGGGTCGCTTTCAATGCCCTCCTGCATGATGGGCATGAAGACCTGCGAGCTGAACGGATGGCGCTCCAGCAGCGACACAGTGAAGTGTCCGGCAGTGGTCGGGCGCGGGGCCGAGCTGAAAATACACATGTTCGGGGACGCTCTCTGGAGAGCCGGCAAAGGTTGTGGGCGTAGGTTGGTCAATGTGGCCACATTGTTGACGCGCTTGGCGGTGCCCTGGT